GTTAAAAATAATATTTTATTTTTACATTTTTTATAAAAATTTATTATAAAATAATATATTTAACATACCTTAACTAAGCAGGACAGATAATTCTTTAATTTAATAATAAAGTATATAAATAATGTAATTTATTTATAGATTATACTTTTTTTACACTAGGTTGGGAATACCATTCGTGAATGCTAAAAAAGCAACTTCGAATTTTTCCTTTAAGCCACTCAAATATCTTTCCCTGAGTTAGCTCCACAATTGTATCACCCGATCCCTCCTCATTTTCAAAAACTCTTCTATTCCTCCATCCCCCAAATATACCAAGTCACTACCAAAAAAATTGCAAGCCCTATTTCCTTTCCACAACCCACCCCCCATGAGAAATACATTCAGCCATGTATCCTACGGTACCCGGCAACACACCCAATACACCTCCATTTAATAACATTCATCCAAATCGACCAACTCCATCCACCTGAGCATATTAAATGATCTAACTCCAGATTACACAACAGGCATCCAAGATCCACATCCTGTAATACAATTCCCCTCTTAGCCAAATTCCCTTTTTTAGCCAATCTATCAAGAAATAGTCTCTACCCAATTATACTAACCTTTGATAGAACATATATATTTACACCAAATCAATCAACACAAAATTTCCATCTAATAAACATAACTCAGATGATAACATGTTATATGCCTTTTTTCTCTGAAGATTCACCTCCTTCATTAAGTTTCCATTCTCACATTTTCTAGCAACACCATTAACTCATTTTCTTCACTCACCTCTCCCCCCCATCCGAGCCCTCCTCTATTTGGACTTCCAGACCCGAGTATCACCCTCCCATTCACCCATCTCCCTCACCTTACCATTTTAAAGTCATGACATTGCAAAGAACTGAGGAAATACATCTTTTAAAGGCCTACCCCCAACCGATTTATCCAACCAAAATAGAATCTTCTCCCCTTGATTTGAAAGTTTATAAATGATGGTGGCAAATCTCATCCATTTATAGTGGAGAGATGAATAATTCACATTTTGAATAATTGATCTGTGTAAGTAAATCCTAAGTCATAATCAATTTATACTTTTATCAATTTAACTATTAATTATTGAAAACCTCTTCCCAATATCATTACCTTTTTTAAATTGCAATGATATAGTTACAATCATATATAAAATTGTAAGTTTATAATTATGACATAATCTATTAAAATTGGTTTAAGTAGTTAGCAAGTCATTTGAATCACACTAAAAATGTAGGTTTCAATCACTTCAATGTCATTTGGGTGCTAACAATACCAATGAATTATACCCACTTTGAAAATTTTTCACATGACCTACAATATGCTATTCTTAAGGTTGTATTTATAGCATAATAATTGTTCCCATGACCTGCATC